GCACGGAGCCCGGGGCTCATCTGCAGCTCCGCCGGGGGTGGCGGGGCGCGGGAGACTCGACTCCCCTCATCTGTGGACCCGCCTCGCTGCGGAGCATGCGCCGGGCTACGTCTGCGCATGCTCGGCGCCAACCGGCCCCCGCCCCGCCCAGTCCTGGCTGGCTGTGGGGAGGGCCGCTATCCCGCGCTTCTGGGGGAGCCCCGGGGTGCAGCCGGGGAGACCTGGAGACCAGCAGGAGCTGCTAGGCCGTGGGCTCCAGAAAAGAGAAACCGGCTCCGGAAGGGCCGCATAAGTTTCCCTACGCAGTGACTAGACGTCTAGCTTCCTTAAAAGACTGGCCCCTCCGGGGCACATCTTATTTATTTTCTTGACCGATGGCACCTCAGTGGCAGAGTGCGCAAAAACGTGGAGCGAAGTCGAAAACCCACTTAGCCCGCAGGATTTGGCTGCACAAAGTAGAAGCCTGAGACGGTTAATAATTCCAAGAATCAAACGAAAAACGAACAAGTCCCGCAAAAAGCAATCTCAAATTTGCTTCAGTTGTTTTCATATTTCAAAATAAAAAAGATGGGAAATATGTGTTGGCAAGGATGTAGAGAAACTTCATTCTTCTACCCTGCTGCTGGAACGTAAATGAGAATAACTCTGGAAAACAGTTTGGCACTATCTGCTGGAAGTGCTACCCAAAGACACAGCAGGTCCGCGCTGACGCACACTGTCATAAGAAACAACGTATTGGGAACCAGCAGTTAGCATAATGGCTATGTCACTGGACTCCCACGTAGTCGACCGCGGTTCGTGTCCCGGATCCGGTGGCTTAAAACTCACTCCGGGCGCGTGTGCGTGCGTGCCCAAGGTCCCGAGAGGAGAATGGAGGAGAAGGGATTGCGGCGTGACCATCCCCCCTGGGGGGTGATTTCTCGCTTTCTGTCTCTATGTCTCTCTCTGTCTGTCTGGCGAGCGCACGCGCCCTACAGTGAAAATCTCTCCAAAAAAAAAAAAGAAACAACGTATTTATGATGCACTCACAGGCAGGTATTAGACTGTTCATAACTGCATTTGTTGCAGTAACTCCCAGATGGGAATAACTCAAAAGGCCATTAACAAAAGAATGAATAGATTCACCCAGTGTTCGTATAGTGGAATGCCACACAGCAATGCAGAAGAACCTTCTGCAACTACAAGCGAACTGCTGAATCCTAAACCTGAGCCTAGAAAGTTATACACAAGAGTGTAAACTGAGTAAGTCTATTTCCATGAAGTGCAAAAACAGGAAAACTAAGCTGCTAAAAGTTAGAGTAAGGGTTACTTCAGCAGTCAGGATAGTGACTGAAAGAGGGTCCCAGAGTGCTAGTGAGGCTCTGTGTTGATTTGGTGTTAGTCACACATGTGACCCGTTTTGAAAATTTGAATACTGCTCTTACACACATTTTTGTTTGCATTTTTCTGTATTAAACATTTAACTTAAAGGGCCAGCAGGTTGCGTGGTTGGTTAAGGCTCTAGATTCCACATGGCTGGCCAAGTCCCAGGCCCATGTGCCCAAAATCCTGAGAAGAGAATGGAGGAGAAGGGATTGCAGGTTGGCCCTCCCCTTACAGGGTGATTTCTCGCTTTCTCTCTCTCTCTTTTATGAGCACACACACTCTGTGGCAAAAATCTAAAAATAAAAATAAAAATAAATGTTAAGTAGAGATTGTTTTACCTATAATGCCAATATTTTAAAAATTATTTATTTAATTGTATTTATTTACTACTGTTTTAAAATTTTTCTACAGGGCACATGCGCTCACCAGAGAGACAGAGAAAGAAAGAGGACTAGTGAGAAAACAAGCCACCAGGTCAGGGACTCTAACCGCCCATAGCCATGTGTGAGTCCAGTGCCTTTACCACCATGCCACCTGCTGGCCCCCATGACAGCGATTTTTTTTAAAGAATTATTTTCTTTAAATGTATTTGTTTATTTATTTATTTTACTTTGATCAGAGAGGACAGAGTGAGAGAGAGAGAGAGAGAGAGAGAGAGGGAAAGTGATAAATCAAGCTGCTAGATTTGGGACTCAAACTGCAGTTGGTCATGTGACAGGCCAGCACTCTAACCACCAGCACTCTAACATCACCTACTGGTCCCGCAAAAAAATTTTTTTGAGAGCAATATTATGCTGTAGGGCATATGCACTCGCCAAAGAAACAGAAACAGACAGAAAGCAAGAAATCACCCCTCATGGGGGATGGCCATGCTGCAATTCCTTCTCTTCCATTCTCCTTTTGGGATTTTGGGCACACATGCACAGGACTCAAACCGTGGTCAACTACATGGGAGTCCAGCAATCTAACGATTATAGCATCTGCTGGTCTTCCATAATAGCAATATTATTTGCAAAGAATTTAATGTCAAGTAACCAACAGATTTAGCTCTAGGATTTGGTTGGTAGTGCATATCCCTTACTTGAATAAGGACCACTTGAAAAGAAAAAAAATTAAACAACTTGAGTAGACATTTCTCCAAAAAAGATGTAAAAACGTTTAATAAGCACATAGAAAGAGGCTGAACATCACTAATCATTAGGGAAATGCAAATCAAAACCACCATGAAAGGCTGGGTTCTCCCTGAGCAGGATGGCTGCATGCAAGTCTGTGATCTGGATTGGCTGAGACCAGAGATCTGGATTGGCTGAGACCAGAGATTTGGATTGGCTAAGACCAGAGAAGTCATCTGGGTTGGCTGAGATTGGTGGATCATATTAGAAAGACCCTGGAGCCCCTAAAAGAAAGAAAAACCTTGGGTTACCACTTCACACTTGTTAGCATGGCTATTATAAACAAAACAAAATAACAAGTGTTAGAGAAATTCCATTGTGCACTGTGGGAGGAATGTAAAAATGCAGTGCAGTCTCTATAGAATGAGAGGGGCCAGCAGAGGGCATAGCAGTTATGTCACTGGAATCCTACATGATAAACTGAGGTTGGAGTCCCAGACCAGGTAGCTTGAAACTCATGCCAGGCATGTATGTGTGTATCCCAAGACCCTGGGAGAATGGAGAAGAATGCAGCATGGCCAACCCCATACCTCCCACCCGGACTGATTTCTCTCTTTCCGTCTCACTTTCT